GGAGGTATGCAAACTTTGCGCTATCTGGTTTTATCTTGCCTTTGAAGGATTCTAACTTAAGCTTCGGAGCCTTTACACCAGGTTCCCCCCGGAGCCTCCTCATCTCCTTCGTTTCAAGTTCCCTGCTACTCAGTTCAGAGGCAAGGTCGTTGACAGCTAAGACCGGCCGGATTGCGCATCATCACCAATGATCAACTAGAAAGCTACTGGAGACAAACTTCTCGTCAAATTTGACTGCAATTGGGAGATAAAAACACACTTTTTTCACGAAAGTACTCTTTTCAGAAGAGAAACTACATTGAAGGAATTAAAGATGACCAAAACAATTGGAAAACTGAGCATGAGACATCACTAAGATTTTTATTGATTACTTCTCTAACATTTACTCCTCCCAGAATCATGAAGAGTTAGAAGATATATTCAATTGTTTTAATCCAATTAGCACGGAGGAAGAGAATTCCATGCTCACTGATATTCCTCCTGTTGATGAAATAAAAGCAGCTCTCTTCAGTATTGGGAGTCTTAAATCTCTGGGTCTTGATGGTATGCCGGCAGTACTTTTTAAGGATTTATGGGATTTAATGGAGCCTAATTTAGTACTATTAGTACAAGAATTTTTCCAAAATAGAAAACTCTTGAAAAGGCTGGACCATACCTTCATATGTGTTATCCCGAAAAAGGTTGACTATTCTAAAGTCCAAGATTACTGTAATGTCACCTATAAAATAATTGCCAAAGTGATAGCTGGTAGATTTCCTAAAATTTTGGACAAAGTGTATCTCCCCAAACCAAGCAACTTTTATACCTAGAAGGCAAATTTTTGACAACTCAATTATCACCCAGGAAATGTTTCATTTTTTATAGAACAAAAAACGAGGAAGAAACTACGTGGTTCTAAAACTAGATATGTCTAAAACCTATGATAGACTAGAATGGTCTTTCCTCCTTTAAATTCTGTCTCTTTTGGGTTTCTCACCTGACTTTTGTCTTTTGATCAAAGAATATATTTCAATTGTTTCCTTTTCAACAATTGAAAATAAAACCTTTGCATAAGAATTGTAAATATCTAGGGCTCCCTCTCTTTTGGTCTAGGAATAAACATTCCAATTTAACTTTTATCCTAGATAACATGCAAGCAAAAGTCAACTCTTGGAGAGCCCCAGCTATCAATCAGGCTGGGAAAAAGTACTAATTCAACTTGTTTTACAATCTATTCCCCTCCATGCCATGACCTTAATTAAATTCCCCCAGAAAACTATTGACCAAATGGATAAAATGATTAAGAACTTTTGGTGGGGAACTTCAAAATCAAAACCTCACTTGTTCCGTTGGTGTGCTTGGAATGTCCTAATGTTACCTAAAGCCGTGGGATGTTTAGGTTTCAGAAATCTCCAATTAACTAATAAAGCTCTACTCAAGAAAACGACCTAGAGATTTCTTAATGAACAAAACAATCTATGAGCTCATCTTTGAAAATCGAAATACCTAAAAAACCATACTTTGTTTCCCTACTATATCACTGCTTCAGGTTCAAATTTTTTGGAAATCAATAGCCCCAACTCTTATTGAACTTGCCTCTAGATGTGGCTCTTTAATAAAGGAAGACTCTGAATTTCCAAATTCTCAACAACCTTGGGTTCAAGCGCAAAATCAATTTTCCTAGATTTCTCTTCCTTTAGCTTTCCAAATTCAAAACTTGAATATCAACCATCTTATTCAAAATGCTCAATGGAATTGAGACGTTATTATTTCTTTATTTGCTATTGATGAAGCAACAAGGATTTTGAATACCCCCATTTTCCCCTCTTCTCATCCAACTTCCTAGATCTAGGCCCAACATAGTTCAAGCAAATTTACAGCAAAGGAAGAATACAAGAAGAACCAAGGAATATCTTGTCCATCTATAAACCCATATCTCAACTTCTATCTTAAAAAGCTTTGGAAACTAAAAACTGCACCCTGTTTTCAACTTTTGTTTTGGAGAATTCTTAATAATTTCATTCTTGTAAAAGATAAGATTTTTCAAGATAATCAACACAAAACTTGTGTCCTCTGCGATCTAGAAGCTGAAACTTTAAATCACTTATTCATGAATTGCACTTATACCTAAGCAATCATTTTTGCCAACCCTTGAAATATTTCAAGGATCCTGGATATTCTGTATTAAAACTCTTTACAATCAAACTGCAGATTGCTCTTTATTTATGAATATTTTCAACTGGATAGTTACAACTTCTTATTACATATGGTATGCTAGGAATGAAAAGAGCTTTAAAAACAAATTAATTCAACCTACCAATCTACTGCATCAAATTAATAATTCTTGCTTACAGTCAAATTCTCATTCCAATATCGATGCTCCTCTAAGTCAATACTCAATGGATAAAGTTACTCTTAGCATATCCCAAAATTTGGATCTTATTGTGTTTACTGATGCAAGGAAAATCTAAGGTTCTCTATATACCTATGGTGTTGTTTTCTCTTAAAAAACCTATCTTGCTTGAAAATTATTGGAGGTAGAACCAATCAAATTTTCTCGATAATTCAAGTTGAACTGTATGCTATTCTGCAGGCTTTATCAAAACTTTCAACCTAGGAAATTCAGGAAGTTTGTATATACACTGATGCTCAACAAGTAGTTCAAGCGCTTCAGCAGAAGACAGATCTACCCCGGTCCTGCCAATGACTTTTGTTTAGGATCAGTTTGTTAATTTCAAAGTTCAGACATGTTTCTTTTGGCTTTGTAAATAGGAAGTTTAACAGTACCGCCCACAAGGTATCATTATTAGCTAGATCTAATCATGATATTTGATACTAGCAATGTATGCAGTATTTGATTGGACTTGGAGTTATGATTCATGAGTCATGGTTGTGCTTCTAGACAACGTTTTTTTTTTTTGATAATTGTGCTTCTAGACAATGTGATCGACCTCCTTCACATATCTCTCTGACTATTATAGTTTTTGAAATTTTTTTATCAACTGGGTTTTATTTTGAAAATTTGACAAATAGTGAAGGGCAAATTTAATATTTCATATCTTCCATGAGTATTTAACAGTGACGACAGTTGTCAAAAAACTTAAAGGTGTAAATAGTAGGGGTAGAGCTAGTCAATTTCCTAAACCATATGGATACTTTATGAAATTTGCCCTAATATTTTTATATAATATTTTTATTTTTTATGTATTAACAATAAATAATTTTTATAATTCTTAATTTTTTATATATAAAATAATATATATATATATATATATATATATAATTTTTTAAAAAAAGCTTGGCTTGCAATCAAACTCGAGCCGAGCCAAACTCAAACTTGCGAGCTTTAAAATTGAGCCAAACTCGATCTCAAGCCTCTAGCTTGAATCAAGCTTGAGCCTAACACTACTACGAACCGAACTCGAATAGCCAAGTATTTGACTTGGCTTGGCTTGACCCGAATCCACTCCTATTCAAAAGAATGGCAGGCATTAACCGAAAATAAATCATTTATCAGGGGAGGTCTTTGTCCATTGAAATTAGGGATAGTATTGGGTTTTTGAAAACATTTAACCGTACTTGACATACAACTAGATCTTAATGGATTTTCCATGGAGGGGAGGTTTCTGCCCAATGACAATACGACATCACTTACAAGGGAGGTCTTGGTCTATTTTGAAAACACGGGGGAGGTCTTAGAATTTAGCGTGAATATCAGGGGATGTTTAAGTCTTTTTACCCTTTAAAAAAATACTTTTACTTTGTTTTCTCATCGAAATAAATGAAGGCCTTAAAAAAAAGGTCAAGGTTGCAAAACAACAGAAAACATGCTTTGAAAGGAAAAAAAAAACAGACCGGGTTAAGAAGCTTGTCTAGACATCGTATTTTTGCCACGTCAAAGATTGATGTTCTCAATCTGAGCTGTCCACCAAGCAGGGGACCCTCTGGATTGGTTGCCTATTCGACCATCTAATAAATGTCACCCTTGTACTAAACCTTTAACTTGTGTTTTTTACTAAAAATATCAGTTAGAATATTTTTTGGTTTTGGTATTACATAGTACAGATTACAGAGGAATCAGGGGTGGGGACTGAGCAGGTGCAAATGAGGCCCATTAACCATACCACAGAGAGCCAACGAGCTGGGATGCCAACTGACCACCTGGGTCATTGGCATTTGAATATTTAAATATCGAAAGGCACCATTCTGATCATGTGGCAAGAGTTTGGGGCTCCAAATTTGGCCCATTTTCATCCCCAAATGATAGATAAAAAGATATTTACCCTTCATTCAGATTGTATCTGATTTTGAGCTTGTGCAAAGAAATGTTTAGCATTGTGTGCCACTTCTGCCTCTAGAACTGCTTCCAGCACAATATCTGATCCTTTCACATCATCTGCCATGAATCCACTGCTTAAACACATTTATTCAACAGAAAGCATCCACTGTTCTACAAGTGAATGTTCAGGCACTATGCAGTTAATTCTTTAAAACTAAAAAAAAAAATGCACACAGTAACATCTCGACATGCATGAGGAAGGATGGTGCGAACACATAACCCAAGGTGAGATTGCAACAGTGGCACAAACTCCAATGTTATAGCTCAGTTTTCTTTTTTTCCCCCTGAAATTCCAAGAGTTCAGAAGAAACTTTAAATGGTGGTTCACCAAGAAAGGAAAGAAATACAAGGAAGAAGTCATCGTCATCTAAGTCTTGTCCCGACTATATGGGGTCGGCTCATTAATACTGTTTCTCAATTCCGTTTTGTTCAGTGCTATATCCATCGCTAAGATATGGGTGCTTAAATCATTTCTTATTATTTTCACCCACATTCTTTTTTGGTCTGCTCTCTTCTAGCCCCTTCAACTTGTAATAGATCATTTTTTCTATCAGGTGCAAATACAAGGAAGAAGTATAATGGAGAAAAAGAAGAGAGTGAGGTAACTACTAGTAGAATTTCATAGCTAGGTTCCAATAGTCCGGTTAGTTTCACTAATAAAAAGAACAGGATGGTGGAATCTCACTTTTTAGATCACAACAAAGTCGCAGACACAAATTTTAAAATTTTCATTCACCTAAACGGAAGGGGAAGAATACAATATCCTTTATAGAAGAAGGCCAAGCCATTTTGCACAACAAAAAACTAATATTATAAAATAGCAACCATACCCCAATTTCATCTCTTCGAAGTTTCCTTGGAATATTCTTCTTGTAGTTGCTTCTGCTTTGGTCCTACTAAGATGGGCTTGCCAAGGGCCACAGGCTAGGCATTCCAACTTGCTTGTGGGCAAAACAAATGAGCTGTGGGGCATGGACCAAGAGTTCTGGGCTCACAAATAGAAAACCAAAGTCTTGGGACACATTAGCAATTGTGAGTTGTATGGTGGGTATGGGTCTAAACCACATGGATGAGACCAGCTAGTGCTGCATCAAGGGGTCTGCAGCATAAAAGCAATTCTAAACATAGATACTTTTTTTTAATCAGCACTTAACATTGATACTATTAGAAGATGCCCACTATGTATATGAGCACAATGTGTACATGATCCACAAGACGGCAAGCATATTCAAGAGCAACATCTCATATTTCCATTATTTTCCATCAGATGGCAATTTCCATCAACATATCCTTGAAGCTTTCATCCATGCAGTATCTACTTTTGTATCAGGTATATATTGTGTCTGACACCAGTACATTAGGCACATAGGTATCCTGGAATTCTAGACTATGACAGGATAGCTGATCCCCAAATTCTTGTTTGTGGGGATCTTTGGACATATTTGAATGAGATGTTTACTCCATCCTCCCTGTTGCAAAACCAAAGGAACCAAGAGCCATCCCTATTGTCTTCCCTTATAATGGTATAAAGCTTCACTCCTTGGTTCATTCATAATCAATGAATAAGGAGATGAGCACTTTTGATTCAAATATCACTATTGGAGCAGGGATTCGCAAATCTCCTCTACAATCAGCAAATATCACAATTGGAGTGCAGATATCACAGCATTTTTAAGCACACTAGAATTTCAAGGTTTTCCCACGAGGAATTAGGAAATCAAATTCATCTCATTTTCTGCAGCTTTCAAAATGAACTTTTGATTTGTTCCTCATAGGCAGCCAAATTACCACACTAAGGGGTTTAAGCTCAATGAATATATTATAGAAAAGTCACCTCATGATCATAGAACAATGGATCAATAGATGTGCCACTGTTTCATCCATTGCATCATATAGAAAGCATTTATTTTTAATGCTAGTGTGTCATGCCCAAAGACTTAACAGCTTTGGTAGCATCCTGGGCAGTAAGGGGCTTCAGCCCAAGAGACTGCATCCTATGGAAAGAAAGAAACCACTCAATCTTTCAAAGAAAAAGTTGCAAAGTTAATGTGGGTACAAAGAGAATAGAGAGGCAGCTGGCTTTTTGGGTATCAAACTGTCAATATTGAATGATTTTTATGGCCTCAAGTTTGAGCACTTCTGTAGACATTGGAAGAAGGAGAAAATACATTTTATTCATCCTTTGGTGTATAAAGCAAACACATGTATATAGTGTTCATAGTTCCATCTCATTAACCATGTAATAGACCTAGGACTAATTTTGGGCAAATTTAATTCAGTTCTTATACTTGAATAATAATACAAAAATAGAACATTCACATAGGAAAAAAAAAAAAAGAAATACAAGAAAAGCTGAAGATATTCAGAGGCACAGAGTCTTCTGCGTAGCCTTCAGCTAATTGCCAGCCAAACCCTCAAAAATGAAAAAAAGAAACCCACCTTAGCTAATAGTATGCAAGCCTGAGTAATTGGATAATCTATTTTCTTCTATTTAATTTCTAATACTGACAAAAGGAAAGGGAAAAAGAAAATGTGGGGACACTGATTGCTGATAAAAAAAATGTGGGGACACTGATCAGAGAGAGAACCTAGGCTGCCCAGGTTCCAGTTTCCATAAGAAGTTATGAAGGTAGGGAAGGAGGCTGGTCAGGTTTCAGTTACCATAAGAATAAACTTCTAGAATAGGTAAGGTATTGAAAGCCTAAACACTTGAAATGACTTAAAATACAATTATAAATTCAGTTGGCATAAGTCCATTGTCTTGGTCATCATGATCATCATTATCTAAATCTAAAACCGTATCCAACCTATTTGAATTTGACTACATGAATCATATCCCATTATTCCAATCCATCTAAACCACAAACCTAACCTATAATTCCTTTCTTACTACCCCAATCCACATCCTCTTGGTCTACCTATACCTATCATAGCTGCTTGCCTGTTATTTAACATTTGGGGCTAACCATTATGATGTAGGACCAGTTCAGTTCTAGTCCTTAGAGAATGTTGAATGGTCTTTTTGGATCAGAATTTTATGGCTGTTGATGGCTGTAATGGCTTCTCAAAGGAATAAGAGAGAAAATTGGGAGAGAAAGAAGAGAGAAAATACCTGGAATCACTCACAGGGTGCCTAGAATCACTCTAGGGCATGGGAATCACTCACCATAGCTAGCATAAGCTGAAGAAAACTCAATAAACTTCTTTGCCTTTGTGTAAAACGTCCATACATATTTATAGACTCTAAATTCATAATAATCCTAGGAGTCAACTGTTAGACTCATAATAGTTTTAGGAGTCAAACTGTTAGACTCAATAATCCTAGTAGGGCTCAAACTAAGTTGTTAAATCCTATTTCAATTCAAAGAAGACTCAATAACTCTAATCCTACTTATGCAATGACTCTGAAATTTTAAATATAAACAAACTATAACTAGACAAATTAAACCCTATCATTGGACCCCACAGAAAATTGCAAAAATGACAAAAATACCCCTACTGTCCAAAAATACAGAAATACATAAAATATCATAAAACTTCAATTGACTCTTCATCTCCTATATCATTCTCCCCTGGTTCAAAAAAACTCGTCCTCGAGTTTTGAAGAACTTGAGGATGAAAAGTTGATATGCCCCAATTACAAAAGGAGTAGGACTTCCCACAGCTACATGCTTGGATTGTAGAGTAGAGGCCACACAGAACTAGAAAAGGATCTTGAAAGAAACGTATTTCTGAACACTACCTTTCATAACCATCTTTGTTAAATCATTAATAATATTAATTTCTTGAAACTTAATTCATCAACTAGCCTTTGTGATTAATCTTCCACACGCTTATCCAAATTTTCAACTGCAACATTTGGAACTTTTCCTTCAACTTCTAATTTAGGAGTCACCATCTCTATGTATTGCGTTATCCTTGGTTCTTCAACAAACTCTAGGACTCCTTCCATTGTTGATATTGGTGGAACTTGTGCTATGTTAGGTTGTAATTCTTGAATTAGTTCTAGTTGATCTTGTAACATAAATTCACTTCGTACTAGGATCTACTACAATCAGCACATTTGTATCTTGCACATGAATTTCTTTAACTTGCTCCACTTCTATTTCTTCTTGATCATTAACCTCAAGCTGATCATGGGTGTTGGAAACTCCAACAATTTCTATTTTTGCTTGGCCTGCACCTTCTTGATTTTTAGTATTGACAACTTCTATAGCTTGAAATTCTTCTTCTTTAGCTTCATCCTCAACTTCAACTCTGGGATAGGCATCAAAATGCAAGGAATCGTCTACTTTCTTTTCAACTGTGTACCTTCTTCCCCTTAACTTCAAGCTCTTTGTATTGACCTGTTGCTTCTTCTTTTGCTCAAAATTAGTCAGCTCCATATATAGATCATCATGGAAGTTTAGTGGGATGTACTTTTTTTGCAAACACCTCTTCATCTCTGCCCATGTACTAATTGGATCATCACCTTTATTTTCTAGTCGTTACTCAAGAGTTCTTCACCATACTTTAGCATGAACCGTCAGCTTCATGCACACAAATCTAATCCTTTGTCTGTCAAACATATCATGCCAATCAAAATATTCTTCTAGTTCAGCAACCCAATCAAAGAGTGCTTGCAGATCATCATCTCCTTTGAAATCTGGTATTTCCCTTTCTCTTCTAACATGTTTGAAAACCTTACTCCTGTAGCCAACATTATTAAATCTATTTTCTTCTACCATCTTCTCAAATAAGTCAACCAAAGACCCTTCATATGATTCAGAAACTCAATCATCATTGATTCTAGACTTGTAAGATTGTCTAGAAGATACCCTAGGCCTATAGAATCAGTCACTTTGTGAGAACATAGCTTTGATACCAAACTGATGTAGGACCAGCTCAGTTCTAGTCGTTAAAGAATGTTGAATGGTCTTCTTGAATCAGAATGTTATGGTTGTTAATGGATGTAATGGTTTCTTGAAGGAATAAGAGAGAAAATACCTGGAATCACTCACAGGGTGCCTAGAATCACTCTAGGGCATGGGAATCACTCACCATAGCTAGCATAAGCTGAAGAAAACTCAATAAACTTCTTTGCCTTTGTGTAAAACATCCATACATATTTATAGACTCTAAACTCATAATAATCCTATGAGTCAAACTGTTAGACTCATAATAGCCTTAGGAGTCAAAATGTTAGACTCAATAATCCTAGTAAGACTCAAACTAAGTTGTTATATCCTATTTCAATTCAAAGAAGACTCAATAACTCTAGTCCTACTTATGCAATGGCTCTGAAATTTTAAATACAAACTATAACTAGAAAAATTAAACACTATCATTGGAACCCACAGAAAATTGCAAAAAATGACAAAAATACCCATACTGTCCAAAAATACAGAAATACATAAAATATCATAAAATTCCAACTGACTCTTCAGCTCTTGCATCACATTAGTTCCATCAAATGCAATATCTTTTGTTTTTTCTTTTCATTTTTTATCAGTAACAATCAGAATTTTATTAGGAAAAAGAAATGAACAATATGTACAAGCTCAAAGAAGAAGTGTAGGCACAACAGCTACCTAAACCCAAATCAATTCATACAAAAGGATTCCCTGGGGATCTTCTCCTAATACATTTGAGATGTATTAATCCCTCGCCTAGCTAAAGCATCAGCCATGCTGTTTGCACTTCTAGGCACCCACTGAAACGTAGCCAACTTGCTAATCTCCCTCAATACGTATCTGTATTCTGTACATCCATGTTCCTTGTGTATTATCTCTTAGCCATCCCACCACCACTCTAGAGTCTCCCTCCACTACTAAGTTTCTGTAATGGAGGGGCTTCCCAATTTCAACCCATGCAATACTGCTAATAGTTCTTCCCTTGTTGAGTTTCTAAACTCAATTGGCCCTGAATATAATGCCCTCACGGAGCCATCTGCCTGTATGAAAACACCCCTGATACCTGAATTTCCAGGATTACCAACGCTGCAACTGTCAAAGTTCAATTTGATTCAAGGAAAATCAGGTGGATGGCAAGAAATCCTTAATCTAGCTCTAGAAGATGATAAGCCGGGCAGCCAGCCATCTCTTATCAGTTCCTTGCTATATGTCATATGAAACATCCCTAAAGTATGTCAAAGTTGTAACCCAATGAGCCACCCTGACCATCAAATGCAGTGTCTTCTGGTTTTGTCTTTTGTAGTATTGCTTCTTGCCCACCACAACAACTTCATCTTGTCCAAGCATATTATAGTAATGGAGAAAAATGGATTTCAAATTATAGAGGGGGCATAATGATGCTTGGCTGGAGCCTTGGGAAGTTGGTCTGATGGCTCTGAACATCATATGATCCACTAGATGTTATCAATGGTTCAGCAAAGAAAATAAGACAAGAGTAGAAAAGAAATGGGGGTTTTGAAGGTTACCAACAAGACAAAGGGGAAAAGGAAGGGGTCAAAGGGGAAGAGGGTCTCACAAGCAGAGATTATGTTAGTTTTGGAAGTGGCTGGGTACAGTGTTAGATGGACTCTCTTAAACAGATGAAGTGCCTATGTTGGACTCAAGTCAGATACTGACACCATAGATTCTAATGGGTGGGAGAGCACTTATACAAATGGTTTTCTTCTTTCTCCTTGTTTAGTTAACATAAATGAACATCTAATATACACAGTCGGTTCCATCTTTTCTTATAGAATATCTGTAGGTAACAAAAATAAACTTTAATTTACTTATGAAAGTTTCTATAAGTATATGATGATAGAATTCACAAGACAATTTTTTAAGAGAAATTTCCAATTTTAGGCGTGTCTGTGAATCCATTTTTTATCTTTCCAAGTCAGATTACTGAAAGTTTATGAGTTCCAACTCTTGTGTCCATGTCCATGCACCACTAGTTGGGTATAGGGTGGGGGTTGTTGAAGTTTATTTTGGGTCACAGGGATCAGTGGTAGCAGAAGTGGCGATGGTCTTCTGTTGGGGAAATTTGTGTTCTTTAAGAGGGATTTTGCAATGTCCATTTGAGTTTTCCACACCTTGGGAAATGCAACATGGAGTAATTAATATGCTTGACTATTGAATGAACCTAGATGGACCATTACCCCTGCGATCTGGCAGTAACCTTGTGCTTTCTGCAGAAACAGGAAGAACAGTGAAAAGACCAGCTTTATCATTAAGCTCCTCAAGATTTCTATTGTCTTTCAATGAACCGGCCTTCAGCTTGGCCTTCAAAGCTGCAGATTCAGCCAATCTTGCATATGTAGTGGCTTGACTGTGCAAATCAGATGAACCTGAAGTTGTTGAAGTATAGTCCTAGTGAAGGATGTACATAAATACATCAAGATACTCGGGAAAAAACACTTGCAAAAGCCTAGTTTCAATGATAATCACGAGTTTGATAAGAATTCATTTAAAAAAAACAGTATGACAAGCGGAACCTTTTGGATGGCGTTCGTTGAGTTGTCTTCTCCATCAAGCTTCTCAGGCACACTAATGCCTAGCACCAAAGAAAATATAGCCAATTCAAAACTCATAAAAGGAAGCAATGCAACAAAATACATATAAGAAGAAAAAGACAAGGGAAAAAACTTCTTATAATACCATTACTAGAAGGTGAAGTCTCTGGATTATCCATCAGCCCGCGAGTCATTGGACCAGGATTCATGATGGATATGCTCCGAATTTCATAACGAATTGCTTCTAGCTGTGCAATTGCATCTTGAAGTTCTTTGTGCACCTAAAGGTCAAGATAAAATAATTTAGAATCAACATTTTCTTAGTTCTGAGAAATATGATCGGTTCCAAAACGAGCTCAGAGCTTTCTTATCTGAACTAGATAGATAGTGCAATGCCAAAACCAGGACAGTAGCAGAGTAATGAAATTGAGAGACATAAAGTACAAGTCAAGTAAATATTAAATAAAGAACCATTAATTATAAGAAACTGGATTACATTATTTCTTCTAATATCAATCCAAATTAGTTTAAAGAGTTCAATCTAACTGTGCAATATAAGAGATACAAACAAATAATTTCACTTGTTTGGAAGGAAGAGGATTCAACCCAGAAATGGAAAAAGATCAGAGAAGAAATACCTGCCTAGCTTGAGACTGCTGCAAAACATTTTCGAACTGTCCACGAGCTAATTGAACATACCCAATTGCTCTGCCGGCTAACCTCCCCGCTGTTCTGGCGATAACTGGGAGATCCTTAGCACCTAAAACCAATGAAACACACAAATCCAATTCCTTCCTTGGAGAATAAACTCGAAGAATAAGAACCCAAAAAGATTTTAGAGAAGAAAATTCAAAAGCATCTCGAAGAGGAAAAAAGCAAATGAACCGAAAGAACAGACGTTAGAAACAAACACAAAAGAATTTCAGGAAATGAAAAATAAATTAAAAACTCAAATCCAAAATAGCATTCTGAATCCAAAAGTTCATTGTAAATCTGGTGCTCTAAACATCCTTCCCAAAGCATTACGCATTACAAGGTGCATGCCTATCTCTATCTATGTGTACGAGAGAGAGAGAGAGATCACCGATTAGAGCAGCAGTGGCTCCAAGTAAGAGGAAGAGCTCCCCATATGAAATTCCCAACATTTTTGCCAGAGAGATCAACCTCACTCCTCTCCGGCTCTCCCTCGTATCAACTATCAAGGAGCAAGGACTCCTCGCCTCGGTTTTCGACTGCTCCCGCTCCGTCTTTGTGTGATACGGGTTTGATTACCAATTTATCCGTTTGTCCGAATAGAATTGGGAATCCGACCGAATCCGAAACACCTGATTTTAATACATCAAAGACCCGTCCAGATTACATTATTACAATGATGCCCCTCTATCTAACTTCAGTCTTTGAACCAAATTTCATAATGGGTCCATCCAAACCAAAGTGGGTTGTGAAACGAGCGAACATGAGATAGACAATGGAATAGGGTAGACTAATTGGTTGAGGTTAGTTTTGCCAATGAAAAAATGGCACTCGCTAGCCAATTCTTGGACCCAATTAGGACTGTTAATGGGAGACCATATGATAAATATTGGTTCAACCCTATACGAGACCATTACAAATGTACAAATTGGTTTGGTTTTAATTCAAATAGCGTCCAATTAAAACCTGGTTAATTGTCATTCCTATTCATCTCCTGTTAATGAATTGAGTATACCCAATCCAAATATATATACTTAAAGCACAAGGGCATAAGAGAGAAGACGTGACTGGGAGATGGTAATAAATATTTACACGTGTGAGTTTCACACGTGTGTAGATGACTCATTGGTGAGAGGCATCGGAGGCGAGAAACGTGTGTACTGAGGCACGCTTTTAATCGCTGAGGGCTTGATGCTTTTTACCGAGGGTCTTGAGCTGCCGAGGCATGCTTTTAACCACTGAGGGCCTGTGTCCCGAGCTCTACTAATTGACAGTTGATCGATGGCCTGACAATCGAACAGGGAGAGACGGGTGGCGGTGGTACCCTAGAAGAGCCGCTACTGACCGACTGCTGAATGGGATCGAATTCCAATTAGATCAGGCAATATTTGAATTCGAATCCGATTAAAAAATTCGATTCTAATTCGATTAAATATTTGAATATTTGATTTGATTTGAATTTGATTAATTAATTAATTTAAATAATTAATAAATATTATATATATAAAGTATATAAATATATATATTATTTATATAATTTAATTATTATATATAGATTATATAAAACATTTAAAAAAATTATATATTTTATATAAAAATTAAATAATCAATCGAATTCAGATATTTATCGAATCGAATCAGGTCATATCAGAATTTGAATCCGATTAGCTATTCGGTATTAATAGAATATCCGAATTCAACGGATTAACTATTCGAGTTATTCGAATTCGATTTTATTATGTTGAATCTCAAATTTGAAATCGGATTTTCGAATATCGTTGACACCCATAGGTGATGGTGGTAGTATAGAAGAAGATAAGATTGAGGGCCTGCCAAATAGGAGAGGGGAGTGGATAAGAAGAAGAGAGAGTGTGGGAGCAAGAGGGAGAGAAGGTGGAAGAGAGTAGTAGGAGTGTCAACGGTATTTGAAAATCCGATTTCGAATTCAAGATTCGACATAATCGAATTGAATTCAGATAATTCGAATAGTTAATTGGTCAAATTCGAATATCCTATTCATACTGAATAACTAATCGGATTCGAATTCGGATATGACCTAATTTGATTCGATAAATATCAGAATTCGATCGATTATTTAATTTTTATATATAATATATAATTTTTTTAATTATTTTATATAATTTATATATTTATATATATAATATTTATTAATTATTTAAAATAATTAATTAGTCAAATTCGAATCGAATTGAATATTCAAATATTTAATCGGATTCGAATTCGAATATTAATGATGGATATCGAATTTTTAATCGGATTCGAATTCGGATATTTCCTGATCCGATTCAAATTCGATCCGTTTAGTGGTTGCAGTGGCGGTGGTACCTTGAGAATTGAGAAGAAGAGAGAGACTGTGGGAGCGAGAGGGAGAGAGAGTGGGAAAGATGAACCGAGGAAGAAGAAGAACAAGAGAAAGAGTGAAACGGATTATTACCCTGAGAAGAAGATAGAGACTGTGGGAGAGAGTGTGATATCATTAAAGCAGTCAAACCCCTCTCTCTCTTACTGTGTTTCACTTCTGCCGAGGAAAATTTTGCCTTAGCAAATCACTCCACGCATTGAAGTTTCTCACTGTTCCGTCTCTTCACTTTTCGTTTCTACTGGCAGTTTTGGGCGGTTTCGCTTTGGTCCCTGGCGTATAGCTTCCATGCTTTGCTCCTAGGATCGAAGTGGTAAGAAGAGAATGGGCAAGCACCAGAAAGAGTGCCCCATGTTTCTTTCTGTCTCTGTTCCCCTTATACAATGTATGAGGTAGATTGTTCCCCACCTCTTTGTCTCTGTATCTATTTTCTCGTTCTCCCTGTTTCTCTCCTCCACTCACCCTAGCCATAGGTATTTTCTTATGTTTTATTTTTCCTTTTTGCAGGATGCCTTTGGGTTTCCAGGATACGTGTTTCGACTTTTGAGTCACTTCTTCCTGAGGTTTTCGGTTTGTTTTTCTTTTTTTCTTCTCTGTTGATTTCATCCTGTTATTCTTTGTTGTGAGGCTCGGTGTTTGAACTCTGAATGAGCACCTGTTATCTATTATAGGAGATGGAAGAAGAATAGTCGCCTAACAACTACTTTGCCAACCAGCATCTGTCATTGGTTTCTACTTTGGATTTTAGATGTTTAGCCTCGAGTTTACTTTTCCTTCTACATCTTCTTCTTCTTTTTTTTTTTTTTTGCAGGTCTCGATTAGCATGCACCATCTGGTGTGTTTACTTTTCCCTTTGATATTTTGTTTGATGTTCAGTGTCTGTTTTTCATTCTTTCTTTTGATTTCCTTTTTTGCAGGTTAGTGTGCTTTAAGTCCCTATCAGCTTCCATTGTCGTTGTGTGGTTTGGCTCCATTTGATATGATTAAAATCTAAAAATAATTATAGTATATTATAATATTTATTGATTTCAATAAACTTTCTCTTGGTTTGTTTGGTGTCTCTGTTGTAGCTGCAGCACTGTTGCTACACCACTGCCTTTTTCGCTCCATTGTTGCTACACTGTTGTTGTTACCCCATCACAACTGTCATTGCTATGGATTGATCAAGAGTAAGAATTCCGAAGTAGAAGGGAAGTAGGAGATGCTTTTGCTTTTGTAATGTCCCGAGTTTCTCCTCCGTTTCCGGTGATGAGCTAAAGCCAATGATTGACTTTGCTAATTCCATAAGCTTATCTTACTAATTGAATTTCAATTTTGCATTCTCATTCAATTTTTTTTTTTTTTTGCTTAGTCTTTCATCTTTCTGTTTCTTTTATGGTTTCCTTTGTCATAGGTCTGCGACATCATTTTGGTTTCCAGTCAGCCTTGATGCTTTGTCATAGTGGTGGCTATGGACGATAACTGAACTCGTCAAGGTGGCTCTATTTCTTGCATCAGGCTTAGGGTGCTTGGTGTTAGCAATCGTCACAATGGCTTTCACAAGCAAATGGCGTTTGATGGTGGTTTATTTTTATTGGCTTTATTATTTCTTTTTAGTTATGTTTTTGGTCTCTCTCTCGATTTTGTTTTTTGGTTTACTTTATGGCTCACTTGTGGGGATGCCATTTACTGAAAGCACCAGCTGGTGCTGCCACGATTCACCATTCCATAATATGCATAGAGAGAGATTATTAAGGGTTTTTTATTTCTCTTTTTTTATTTGATTATTTTATAAAATGTAAAAGTTGAAACTGAAGACCATATTATTTTTGCATAGTTTGCTTGTTCAAATTGTATTTTTCTATATTGTATAAGCTCTTCTCTGTTCATTTTTTTTTTTGTATTTTTCCATATTAATATAATATCCTCATGTCCTACATCCTTGATTATACCTACTCCAATACCAATCCAATCAAGTCTACTCAAGGTACTATCACACCAGTCCAAAGAAATTTTAGCCCTATTCTTGCAACCATAGAATTATTTTGTTCATTATATATCATATATGAGCAATAATCAAACTTGCCCAACTAACACAACCTTCCTTCCATGAAAGAATATTAAAATTCAGTGCGACAACAAATGCACTTTGATACTATTTGCTCACAATTTACATGGATAGCAACAACTTGTACATTGGAGAGACTAGCTCATCGAATAAACGGGGCAAGAACATTCTTTGAAAACTCTCTTTGCTTCAGCTCTTACAAATGAATCAGCTTTCATTGAAGCGTTGTCACCTTCATGACAACGAATCTGCAATTATTAAGCATGTTACAACATTTTTATCATCATGATAATGAATCAGCTCTTACAATTATAACTATTGCTTTGTTTTTTTTTTCTTCCTTTTTTGCTTATGTATCACACCTTAAACTACTTTTTTTTTTTATCCCTGCTTAATGATCCAATATGGTTATAGACTTGCAATTTTTCTATTACTTTCTTCATTTTCAATTTGTTCTTTCGAATTTATCATCATGTTTTGCCCTTGCATAGCAGGGGCCCCTCGCTAGTTTAAATCTATTGCAGATGGATCATGTTCAATTAGGGATGACAAGGTTCCCTATTTCCCTTATCCTAGTGGGAACTTGCTCCATTTAAGTGGGGATAGCGATGATTTTCCCTTATGGGAACAGGGATAGAGAAATTTTCATTTCCTATATATATATATATTAAAGACAAAATGGTTGGCATCATAAAAAAAAATCATGGGGAGTGGGGATCCCCATAGGGATGGGGAGTGGCTCCTATTGCCATTCCCAAGTCCAATCTAAGGTTTAAAAAGCAAAAGGCGTGAGCCTTAAAGCGGTTTGAATTATAAGACTCAAAGTTATACAATATATGTACGTATGTATGGTTATAAACACACAATTTATTTCATTTTATAACCAATTTACATATTTCCTTTTTTTCATATATACTCTTTTTAACATGAGCCTTGTGTTTTTTAAAAATTTAATTTATATTTTAATTTATGCTTATAACTCTATCTATCTAAATTATTTAATATATACATACATACTAAAATTAATCAATGTTTATAGTAATAAATCACCTAAATAAAATTATCCATTTATTTTATTTTCATATTTCATAGTTTATATGCAACAAATCAAAATTATTTTTAATTTGCTTATATATTTTTCAAATACATTTTTCTTTCATAGTTCATTTATATATTTATTTTTTATTAAATTGCATTCTTTTTAATGTAATACATTTTTATTTTATTTTACATCATAGCCTTTTTTACCTAATTAAAAAATAGCTTTACTTAATTTATATATTTTAGGTTATTTTTAATATAATCTAATTTATAAATGATGAAAGTTAAAGCTAGCAAAAGGGGGGGTTCTTTCGGACCAAAGACAAGCGAGTGAAAAAATTATTTGTACAACGATTATAATTAGATTTAGGGGAAAACCCCATTTTAAAATATGCATTTAGTAAGAGAAAAATAAATGAGATGTTTTCGCATTAAAAGAAGTATAGTGGGAATTTTTTTAGTATAATTGTTTTTATTTTATTTATAAACAATTAAATAATCAAATTTCTTAAATTCTAAAAAGTATTATAACTAATTTATAATAGAGGTGGTAGCCTCTTAGTAGAGGAGTAAAGCACCTAGACTAAGACATTTTGGCTCTATCTCGTCTTGAGACATGCACCTCAATGTTTGCCCTAGCACATTTTAAAATTATGGTTCAATTTGATACAAAATATTTTGGACCATTAAGTCTAGAGTGATCCAATTCAATGTCTTATTTGACCATCCAATAAGTTATCGGTTCTTAGAGATGGCAATTTCTACCCTACTCGGTAGGTATGTGCCCTTGTCCACTTTGATAGGGTGGGTTTTCTTTTTGTTTGAAAAATAGATTTTAGGGCGATGATGGATTTGGGATTCTACAATCTATATGGATCCAGGTGGGGTATGGTATTAGGCTAAATCCAACCCTCTCTACATGCTCCAACCCATAATACACGTCTTGGACAAATGGATATTTTGTAATATGTTTTGATTCCTATGTGAAGGATAGTTGGTAGTTTATGTATTTTTCTACATGTTTTCAATCAAATTGTAAGTAAAGAGTGGTTGGGCTAGTGAGTTGTCTCCTTGAAGGACGAAGGAAGACCGAGAGCATAGAAGCAAACAAGAGGTTTATGACAAAATGGATAGAGGAGACCGCTAAGCGGGGAGACTGATGATAGGGTTAACTGAGAGATGCATGAATGCCTTTCATCATGAGGGGGATCCCTATTTAAGGGGGAGGATCTTGAGATCTTGAATGGAAGGAGACAAAAGTATTTGTTTTCCACCAGGAAAGAGAATATTATATTCGTTGCTGGTCATTAAGAAGCATTGCTAGGGTTTCGTCACGTGTTCTTATGGGATATCTCGAAGATTAACTTTCCTTTCTCCTAGAGATTCTCATAACTCACATGTACCTTCCACATCTCTCTTAATTGGTGTGGCATTAGCGATGTTATCGTTTGACGAGTAGCCTCTTAGTAAACCTATGTGGCCCCTAGTCACACGTGTGACTAAAAGTTTCACGTGCAACCAATATTCAGTCCTAGTTTTAGTGAATCGTGGCTTTGTAACGGCCCGGGGTTTATCGTGGGACCGGGTACGCATGGACCCCTTTGCAGGTTCAATTTGTATTTGCTTTGCGCTTGCATTGGGAATGGGTGCATCGCAAACCTGCGATGTGCTGTAGGTTAATTGTTGGGAAAGATCGGTTATGGGCTGATCGCAAGTGTTCATGTGGTACAAATTCAATATCTATTATGCTCTAAAGGGTTGAGTGAGTACTATGTACTTACACAAATAATCGGAAAAATTGATGTTTATTCATGTTTTTTTTTATTTGTTTATTGCTTATATTGTTTAGATGTGGATTCTAGACCTGACCCGTCCCACCTTCAAATGGTGGGAGAGGGTAGGGTCGGGGGTTTGGAATCTAAGTCCAACCGGTTGTGGTTTTTGGGGAGGATCTAGAAGTTACAAAACCCTCCCTCAACTTGCCTCACTACTATCCCTATTGGCACCAAAATTTAGACTCTAAATCCATCGTAGTTTTGGGTCTATCATGTACTACAGGTATCGGATATCCTCCACTTAGGGGCGTTTGTTTTCCGGTAAATGGGGGTGTGTAAGTTGGTGGGTCTCGTGGAAAAGAAAGAAATCTGCATTCATGTTTTGGTATTAGTGGGTCCAACAGAAGAATGATTCTCGAACAATTCATTTACCTAGATAAGAAACACCCTCCAGAGACTTGGGTTGGCACAAAAAATTGCTAAAGCGTGATGGGACAACATTGTCCCTTCAATAATGATCATTTTATGGATACAATGGTCATTATATAACTTTACCTGGGATATAAAGAACACTAAAGTGTAATTATCCAAGTAAATATTTCTCGGGAAACACTTCTCTGAATAAATGCATTTACCCAGGTAAATGACTTGCTGAAAAACAAATGAGGCCTTATAAACTCTCTGCTCCAAACTAGAGACTAGAGGAGCTGTTGCCCAGCATTGACAGATCTCATCAGATTTCAGAGAAACAAACAGAGATTCTAGAGATTATCGTTGGAGTGTTCTATCTTTTGGCTGGACAAAGGCCAGTTATATCCATCACTTCATTTTACACCTTGTCAGTGACAGACTTCAATAAGAAAGGCAACAACCATTTCAGCAGGCCGTTCCAAGGATGGCTAGCCAGCATTGCAGCATTACTGATTTAATGATCTTGTTTCTGTGCATGGTGTTTCACGTATCCACTTGGCTTCCGAGTTCCTGTTTACTTCTGTGTATGCCAACTTCTAAACTACTGTACACCCTCCCAGCTGACATGCTGTTGAGTGCCAAGAATCATCTAATTACCCAAAAAATGGATCATGGTGCACTTTTACTGAATTTTAAGTTGTGTGGTATGTTAAAAATTTTTGCAGAAACAAATGCAATTCAAATGTATTAAGAACCACAAAACCCAAAAATAGAAAATAATAAGTACCATAAATGCTGATATCAGACTATCTACATCCATCATAATCATCATCATCATCTGGGTCAGCTACATGAATCTTGTTTTCTTGTTTTTATACCAAAATTTACAACAGACAAAAAAAAAAAAAGAAAAAGCTATCTGCTTTCTCTTATTAATCAAGGAAGGAGAAAAGCCATAGATCTCTCAAGTATCATCTGGCTGTTAAAGTAGCAAAAGATAAGCTATCTACTGAGAAGTCCAAGGACAAAGCATCACTCTTACATAGCATGTAAACAATATCAACCATATTTGGGCGCTTAGAAGGGTTTGTCTGTAAGCATGCTTGGGCAACAGCCATTACGTTCATCACACTCTCCTTCGAGCCTGATTCCTCAACAAGACAGCTATCCATCCACGCCTTCAATTTCCGCTCCTTCTCATCTTCATTTCCTTCCATAACTGCATTGAGTTCCATCCAGAGAAGCTTCCCTTCCTCATTAATTGCTTCCTTACCAGAAATTAGCTCAAGTAGAACCACTCCAAAGGCAAAAACATCTATTTTTGTTGTTACAATCCCATCGGCAAGATACTCAGGTGAAATGTAACCTTGAGTGCCCACAATGTGCGTGGTTATCGCATTGTAGCCAGATTTTGCTAGTCCAAAGTTGGCAATCTTAGCTCTCATGTTTCCATCTAATAGAATATTACTAGTCTTAATATCTTTATGCACAACCTTTGGCCTTGTGTGCTCATGGATGTACTGGAGACCATTTGCAACATCAATGACAATTCTTAGCCTCGTCTTCCAGTCCAGCTCTCTCTTATTGTTTTCTCCATGAAGCCATGAATGAAGAGATCCATTCTCCACATATTCATAGACAAAATAGCAGTTCCCATATTCAGGGTCCATGCAGAAGCCCTCCAGCTTCACCAGATTGCCATGGTTGACCTTTAAATAAGAAGCCAAAATTAATAAAATCTCATCAAGTAAACAATTTTAATAAAGATGCACAAATCAATAAAAAAAATTGAAATTACCTACAATTTTCTAAATAAAGAGGAAAGCTTATAGGCCTAGAACTATCTTCCATTCCATGATGAAACCAGAAACCTATGCACACCAATAGTCCACCAAGGCATCAAACATCAAAGCTGGATAGTTCAATGAGATAGGATGGGTCCTCTCGCAGATGATGCTTTGGTCAGAGCCTCAACATTTTGGTCTATAGACTATAGACAAAAGCCAGGCTTCTTAGGTCTGGATAATATTAATTGTTGGGAAGAGAAACTTATACATGAGATCATTAAGTTAAGTGAATAATGAGGGCTCCACCATGTGCTTTTATACCATCTCCTCTATAGCATGATCATAGCACGATCAGATTATAATTCTACAATTACAGCAGATTTAAGATTGGATCTAACTGGCAAAAAAATTCACCAGTTTATATTTGACATGGAGTTTTTTAGAGGATTTTTTCATTAACTAATCTAAAGAATACTAATTGTTCAAAAACAATAAAAGAAATAAGAAGACACCTAAACGTTTTGGTGCATAAAACTTGTGAACTTCCAGGCTTGGTTGGTAATCTTTCTTATACAACTACTTGCTAATTTTAAGTTAATAGAAATCATTCATAGGCCCAAGGTCTTGATTAGGTTTAGTTTCGTAAGTCAGGCCAAACTTCCCATACACAACCTAGGCCAACACACATCACATCTCTTTAGATACCAAGCCTCATTCTCACTCTTGCATCCCTTTATACACTTATCTAACCTCAATGAGATTTTTGTTAAGGCCTTAAAGCAGAAACTTGGAAAGAGATGAAGTAAAGAGACCTATGTACTAGAAGGAAAAAGTAAATACAGAAAATGATACCCTTCAATAACTGATAAAAAAAATACCATTCAATAATTCATAAAGGAAATGACACCCTTACACCCTTCAATATCTTTTTTATTTTTTTATGCACATTTTCTATTTGAGAAGCACCATACTACAGCAATGGTTAAGGAACCCTGTTTAATTTCTTCAAAATAAAAAATTTAATATTAGCACTTCTGTTTGGTAGTAAGCCATGAGCCCCTTTGATTCCTTTGGGTCTTTTTTTATCAAGTTTTAATTTTCAACATAAGCACTTAATGAGATAGACCTCAACTACTTTTGTTGTTAATCACACTAGTCTAACCAGTGACCACAGACCGCTATACCTAACCATTAATTAATTAATTAATGTAGTAACAGAGGAATGAATTTCAAAGTTGCAACTTGCAACCTTTAACATTTTATATTTCTGGGTTGCCTAAAAGAAAGTGATTTTTGTCATTGCAAAAGAAACAGTAAAACAAGAAAGGAAAAGCATGAAAGGGTGAACCCATGAGCAAACAATTAGAACAAGTGCCGCAGATGCAGGGACCTTCATCATCCACTGCAAGGGGTCCCTTTCCCAGACATCTCATCTCCCTTTGGAAAGAAATCATTGTGATAAACCAACTTATTTCATTCTTTTGGGAAGCCAGTAAAAATCTATCAAATTGGCCAAAAAATAGAAGTCTACACGATTGGAAGGTTGTTCATGTCTAATTGCATTCATCTTTAGTTTAAGGAAAATCTCATGAGTGGAGTGTCCTGAATGATGCAGCCATTTGATATCTCTACTACTCAAACTATGAATTCTACCAAAAACTTGGCTAACATCTTTCATTGTTGTTCTAAAGTAAAGAGTTCAAGTGCCGAATCTTAACCAATTTTCTGTTACTAAAACTACAATTTTTTTTTGTCTGAGGGTGGGGGTGTTGGAGTTTGCAGGAATCTCTTACCTTTTGTAGGATCTTCAATTCGTCCCAGGCATTCCACTTCATCTTCTTGATGACATAGACTTCTCCATCTATGCTTCCTTTGTACACAGAGCCTTGAATCAAGCAACTTGGGTTGAACCCATCAGTCGCTTTCCTCACTTCTTCAACCCCATAGACTATGTACTTGTCCAAGCAATCAGAAACATCAGCCATGAAATCCCCCTCTAACATCCCCCCTTTCTTAAACTTGGACTTCTCCTTGTCTTCTGCTATTTCATAGCCCCGCTTCAACAGAACCTCTCGGTAAACCCAGAAGCCCATAACCAGGAGTAGTAGAATCAACAGAAAACCTGCAACTCCCAACCCAATTGCCAACCCAGTAATAAGCCCCTTCCTATCTCTGGTCGTAGAAGGTGAAATACTAGCAGAAGGAGCAATAGAAGGCTGTGATAGCTCAGGAAGTCGAGACACCGGTAGGAAGATTGTAAGGTTAGGATAAATGGTCCCTCCATTTATGTCTCTTAAAGACTGTTCTTTTAGTCCGAACTTCTGAGCTATTGAAGCAAAGGTATCAGAAGGTTGGATAACATAAGTGATGAGATAATTGATCTTGTTCTGCAGTTGGGTACTGTTGGGACATCCGCAGAAGATCGGGAAATTAACTTGAACCCCAATTTGGAGATCTTCAGGAATGAGGGTAGGATTAACAACTATGACGGATTGATAAGTGGTAAGATTCTGGAAGAGATTGGTGGAAACTAGGTAGTAGGTATCATCTTTCTCGATGGTGTAGGTGATGTTGGCATAGGAAAGATTGTACTTGGAGTCGCAAGAGCAAGTTATGGGAACGAAGAGGCTCTGGTCAGGGACGAGAGGAGAAGCTGGGGAGGAGATATTGCTGGCTTCTGCAACCATGAGTCTGCTGACGCCGAAGAGGTCACCGACGGTGGCGAGGTCGAGGAAGTCGGGAGACCTGGCTCGGTAGAAGACGTAGGTGTGGCAAGGGTAGATGGAATGGTTGGCCGAGCAGGTGTAGCCAGTGATGTTAGCTTGGCCTTGTGAATGGTGCACAAGGCCCAAGAAGAGGAGGAACTGGATGACAGAAAGAATTCCTCTCATATTTCTCTGCTCTACCTTGACTGTGCGGGTAGATAGATATTTGCAGTTTGCTCATTTATAAAATTGTGATTCTCTCTCTCTCATTCACACACAAATCACATGCTGTTACAGTGTGATCTCCACCCAAAAAAACAAGTGAAAAATAATGTTTTACAGTGTCTACTTTTAAAACTGTGGGCTACTGTCTATTAGTGGAGGACCTGCTGAAGATGGCAACCGACACTACCAGATTTATATAGAGAGTAGAGACGAAGGGGAAATCTCAGGAACCCGGTCAATAATTGGTCTGGATTTGGATCAATTCAGGCCTTGCTTTCGGTTCTTGGTTCTATGGGGCATCATTTTCTCTGTATTAGGTGCTTGATGGTAAAGTCTCTAACTGCTTATGGTGAAGTCTTGGGATCGAATCCCACCATCAGAAGGGAGTCGGGAGTCGGAATCTGCTGCTGGTAAGGCTGTGTAAATGGGTTACAGTCAATCATCATGGCACCCATATCCGAATTGTTTAATCAAATTTGGACTATTTCCCCTTCCCCTCCTTTTTGTTATGGTATTGATTTAATTTCTACTGATGCCGAAATGCCCTCTAAGCAAGCAGTTAGTACCTTGAAGGCTGGAGATATATGTAACGGTCAAAAATCTTTGAAGGTCAACTCCTCCATTGCCGTTCAAACTCAACTCATGCAGTCATTGTTACGTCACAACTCACAACCTTCATCAGAGGAAGGCGGGTCTACATCCGCAGTCAGCAGAGGTAAACCCGCCAAAGCAGGCAAGCCTCTTCCTTCTTTACTTATTGGATCCTCCTCTTATTTATCAAAGAACTCTAATTCCGTTCTTTGAGGGAGCAGGGAGCTCTTCTTTGACTAGATTGAAAAGATCTTCTGATGAACAAGACCAAGACATTGCTCTGCGTTCCGACTCTGTCAACTTGCTGAATCCAAAGAAGAGGGCTCCACTTATGGGAAGCTCTGCAAAACTGATTCTGATCCTGAGGCTTATTGTCAGGGAGGGGGGAGTCCCCTGGCAATTCGGCATCTTAACAGACTCCTCCAGGAAGAAAATCCACATATTGACTTCATCATGGAGACGAAGTGTAACAATAGGAAATCCGCTCGAATTTTGCATCCTCTCAGACAATTCCATTCTCATATTATTCCTTCTGAGTGGCGGATTATGGCTCCTGTGGACTTCGGATTATTCCTTCAATTCTCTACTTCTGCGTGGGTGTGGCATTTTCCAGCAATTGGTTCTGACCATTCTCCAGTTATTCTCCACACTACACATTCTCGTCAAAGAAGAAACTTTCCTCTAAGATTTGAAGCTTTCTGGTCACAGGTTGATGGTTTCCACTCTCGAGTATTTAATACTTGGAATTCTTCTTCCGACAGTTTTACTTCAAAATGTGCATTCACTAAATCTCAATTAAAACACATGTTCTCCTCTAATCATGGCCAATTATAAAATAGAAGAGAGGCCCTCCAATCTAGAATTAAGTCTCTTCAATCTTCAATCAGAACAGAGGCCAAATTACAGGAAGAAAGAGATGTACAGAGGGAATTTGATCAAATTTTGACCCTTGAAGATCTTTACTGGCATCAGAGAACAAGCTGGTGATACTGTGATAGAAACAAACAGTAAATTTTATCCGTAATTATTTTATTAACTTATTTTCTTCTACGGAACCTAGCTTCAATTCAAATGAAGATATTTCTGCTCAGTTTGCTCCACATGATGTCACTCCAGAAGAGAATAATTTGCTTTGCTCAATAGTCAATACCTTCTCATGAGGAGGACAAGTCTGCGTTATTTTCTGTTGGGCACACCATATCTCCGGGATCGGATGGCATTTCTGCTTTGTTTTGCCAACAATGTTGGGATGTGATCGGTTCTCAGATGGGTTCTTTTTTATCCAACATATTTGTGAATACCCAGAAGTGATCAAATCTATTAATGGCACTAACATTGTTTTGATCCCTAAGCGAGTAAGCGTGAGGGGGAGCTGATCAGAGTGTTTCAGATTTTAGGCCTATTGCTATTGGGCTTACAAATGTTACTTATCAAAGACATATATATATAAGAGCGAATGCCCCTTCATTCATTCTGGAATTTTTATTGAACGTTATGGGCATAAAGAGACTATATATGTCCTTAATTCTCATTAAACTGCCCACTTATAACTGTCCATGAATTATAAATAGTTTTGTTTTAGAGATACTGTCATGTGAAAATGCATATATATGTTTACTAGTCTATCTTAAAAGTTGGTCTTCTATATGTCTTGGGGGCTAGGTTTTAAAGATTTTCATAAATTGAATGTGGCTTTGTTGGAGGTTTCTTACTGATTCAAATCAGTTATGGGTACGGGTTTTAAATCCAAAGTATTCGAAAATGAATGAAAGTTTTTGGACTGCGCCTAATCGGCATAATGTGTCTCATACTTAGACTAGTATGCTTAAGTGTCGAGATACTGTGAGACGAGGTTGTAGATGGGTGATAGGCAATGGTTGGTCAATTGACTGTCTTCATGACGCTTGGCTCCCATTAGGCATGGTTTTTAAAACCGAATCGGTCAAGGGTCCGGTTATCGGGTCGAATGGTCCGACTGTTTGAACAGAATGCTTGGCCCGTTCTGACAAAAAAATAAAAAACAGTCAAAACTGTTCGAATGGTTAATCACCCGGTTCAGCGGTTTGCTGACCAAAATCAACGATTTTAGAGGAAAATCCAGTTTTTGGGAAAAACGAAACTGGTCACCTGACAGATTCCCGATTTTTCCGGTCGACCGTCCGGTCCGGTCTGGTTTTGAAAACCATGCATTAGGAGGCTCTCCTCAGTTACTTGATTCGGTCCCTAATTTCATCAACCCAGATTCTCATAATTGGAGGATGCTACTATGTCTCTGATTTGCTCCATCCCACTACCGACATTTAATCATGATATTGGAGGATGCTCTTGTATGGCAGAACTCTTCTTCTGGCATTCTTTCAGCTGCACTGGCCTATAGATGTTTATCTGAACTGGAGGCAAATTCATCTTCATCTCAGTATGTGTTGGGAGATACCTCCTGGAATTTGTTTTGGAAAATCAAGCACTTGATCCCTAAGACTAAGATACATCTATTTCTTTGATGATGCATTGTTGGTGCTCTGCCTACGGCAAAGTATATCTCCCAATATATCAGTCCCTTATGCAAACTTTGTAATCAAGAAGAGGAGACTTCTACTCGCTTAACTTTTCAATGTTTGATCGTTAGAAGAGTATGGCTTGCTTCAAACCTTTCTATTCGACTTGACCATTCTCTAGACTTGATGTTTGTGATTGGTTATAACACTGGTTCAAGCTCAACAATCCTTCTTCATTGTCTCTGATTGCACAAGGAGCTATTTACATGTGGAATATCTGCAAGGCCAAATGCGAACTAATGATGGAGAATCAGAATCAATCTTTTCAGCCATTATCTGTGATTTTTGCTTCTCAGGCACAGATCCAATCTATTTCTTCAATGTTGAATATTGGACTTTCTTCTCCTCATAATCAACCTACAAGACCTTGTTGTAGTCTTGTAGATGGGAGAAACCTCCTCTGCACTTCCACAAGCTTAATTTTGATGGTACTTGTAATACTTCTTTTGGCCATGCAGGCCTGATTCTTAGAGATTTCTCTGGTAATTTCTGTTTTTGCTAGATCAATTAAGGTTCAACTCGGAGATCCTTTGTTAGTTGAAGCTTAATCGGCTTTTGCTGCTCTCTCTTTTGCTAAGGAGGTGGGCGTGTCTGCTCTTATTATTGAGGGTGATTCTCTTTTGATGATCGAGAGTTTGTTGAATTCTGATTATCCCCCTCCTTAGAAGGATCAGACATATCATTGAAGTTAGCTAAGTATGCTCTAGGTATCCTAAATTGTTTTACCCTTATTACACAAAATTAAAGTAGAAAGAGCCTTACGACATTTCTAATTGAGCTAAGTCAATTCACTCCTACATGGTCAAGTTAGGGTTAGGATTATTAGGGTGTAGGTCAATTTAGAATTTGATTATTTAACATTTTAACCCAAATCAGGTTTAGGGTCAAGTTTGGTTGACCTAGCCTATTGGGTCATAATACCCCTACACATATACAGGGATTCTTTCGATGTTTGTTTTAACCCAAATTGGATTTAGGTTTGACTAACCCTTGTCCATTGGGTCATAATACCTCTACACATATAAAGGGTATTATTGTAATTTGGTTTGAATTCTAACCCATAACCTTAAAGTATATGATTTATTTCACTATTTGTTTTTTATTTTTTTCTTTAACTTTGGAGGATGATACCATGGAACACATAAACCAATTTTCAACTTAAATTAATGGCTCTTGAGTTTTCAAAAATTATCACAAAAAAAATACAATTGAAATATTATGGGACGGGTTGGGTTGGTATTGAGTCAAACCCTATAGACTGGGGCAGGTTTTGAAATTGCATAGTATTGAGTCGGGTTAGGTTGGGTTTAAGTGTAAGCATGGGAGGTTCAGGTTAGGGTTGATTTATGTGTTATTGGGTTGACATCATTATTCTCCTATGCTCTATTTTTACCATGTATGGACTTTTTTGAGAGAAAATTAAATAGAAAGAACCCTATGACATTCTTAATTAGGTGTGATCATGGGACAGGTTAGGCTATAGGCCTACTATAAAACCTTAATTAATGTAATTATTTTAAAAAGAATTTAAATTAATAAAAAATAATTTTAAAATTAATAAATTTCTAATTAGCAACATTAATTTTATAAGATTATTATGCTTTATTAATTTCATTTATAATATTATTAATTTAATTGGACTTTCAATTAAGAAAAATTAGGGTAAATTTCTTAAACTATCCCTACTACTTAGTTAATTGACTAATTATGTCCTTACTATGTAATTATTGTCTTGCACCAACTTTACTGTTCTGGCAATTAACATTGTCCTTAGTATTAACTGAAAAAATAAAATATCAAATTTGTCCTTTATTATTCTTCAAATTTTCAAAAGAAAAACAAGGAACAGATTGTTGCCCCATTCCATTTCCATTTTCCTTCTCCCTCTCCCAAGGTTTTAAAGCCCATCTCTATTGCTGTTGCGACTGCGTTCAATATCCGAAGAACTTCCACCCTGCAATAAATGTTTCACATCAGAAAGCCGAAGATATTTCTCATAATGTATTCCGCCTCA